GCAACCTATGTGACTGAAGGCAATAAAAGAGATAAGGAATTTAGATTTTAGAGTTTTACGTGTAATAAGGTAGTAGTGGAAAAGGAGACTCTAAGAATGCATTATCATAAGGAATAATAACAATTATAAATGAGCTGCAAATGTGTATCAAATTTGTGTGAAGAGGTTTATTTCCAACCGTATTATATTTTCAGAAGGTGAAAGATTATGCAGTAGACTGTAAGCCAGGAATGACAAAAATAAATATGAATTACTTGTGCGCTATCATCAAGATTAAGAGAAATCAGAAGAAGAAATTATTATTATTTTTTTTTACGGGGATTAGCCCACCCGGGCACAGGTCATCGGCCCATAACGGTGCCCAGGGGGCTAAAAAATAAGAATAGAAAGAAAATACAAATAGGAAAGGAAAAGATTATATTAATCTACACCACGAAGATGCCGAATTGGGTATGAAAACCCCCCACAAACATAGAGTATGGAAGATTTTATGAAGGACAGGAAAGGTGACTGAATAGACTATCGTACAGTAAAATAAGGAAGGGATAGGGGCAGACTACATAGGAGAGGAGCAGTAGAGTGAGTTACGAAGGTGTTGTGGTATGTTTAGGGGAGTATCACAGGAACATGATAAGACCTCATAAGTGTATACAGTGGAGAAATGTTGCTTAAATATATAGCACAAAGAATATAGAAGAAGGCTTCATAAATTAATTAGTGTGATATATAAAGCCTCCTCTCTGTCTCTCCCTAGCTGTAATTTTCAGTGGCAAGCTAACGAGGGGACATTACGTGCCCAAAAGTCGTAATGAAATAATTCTCAAGGAAGAGAAGTTTTTCTAAATATTATTATTAAAAATACGATATAAATTTTAATACTGTTCTATTGTACATAGATCTGCTGACGACTGGAAAGTCACTATAACGTGAACAACAATGTAAGAGAAAAATTCCACAATAGCAGACGAAATATTATTTACAAACAATCGTTCTACACAGCCAGTCCTTATCTGTAACTCCACTGAGTAGGGCGACAGTTGATGCCGAAACTGTTAAAAATAAACATTTCACCTGCCATTGTGTTTTTTATCCTCTTTTGTATATGGATCTGTTCAGTCCTTGTTTATTTGATCGTAACTTTCTTGTGATTTACTTGCAGGCAAGCCTAGTGGTGGTGGTGGTTACGGTGACGGTGGTGGTGGTTATGGTGGTAACGCAGGTCCAGCAGGTCCACCTGGTTCTCAAGGTGGAAATGGTCGTCCAGGTAAACCTGGTCCTGCAGGCCAACCTGGTCATGACGGAATTCCTGGCCTTCCCGGTTCTCCTGGCCCTACTGGTAATCGTGGCCCTGCCGGTTTACCTGGCCCAGATGGTGCTCCTGGCGTTGTAGGACCTGCAAGTCCTGTAGGTCCTGGATGTCCTCCAGGTCCTGCAGGTCCTGTAGGTCCTGGAGGTCCTCCAGGTCCTGCAGGTCCCACTGGTTCCCCAGGTTCTAAAGGTGTTCCTGGAGATAAAGGCCCTGCAGGCGGGGTAGGTGGTAAAGGTGCTGTAGGTGATAAAGGTATGCCAGGTGATACAGGTCCTGCAGGTCCGGTAGGTCCTACAGGCCCTGCAGGTCCTAAATGTGCTGCAGGTCCTGCAGGTCTTCCAGGTTCTAAAGGTATGCAAGGTGAAACAGGACCTGTAGGTCCTGCAGGTGCTAAAGGTATGACAGGTAATGCAGGTCCCACAGGTCCCACGGGTCCTGCAGGTGCTGAAGGCCCGGCTGGTGCTGCAGGTCCCACAGGTGATAAAGGTTTAATAGGAGATAAAGGTTCTGCAGGTGAAGTAGGCCCTGCAGGTCCTGCAGGTGATAAAGGTATGACAGGTAATACAGGTCCTACAGGCCCTACAGGCCCTCAAGGTCCTGTTGGTGATAAAGGCATGACGGGCATGAAAGGCATGTAAGGGGATAATGGTGGCAAAGGCATGCAAGGGGATAAAGGTGATAAAGGTGATGTAGGTGATAAAGGTGTTAAAGGTGATAAAGGTGGCGTAGGTGATAAAGGTGGTGAAGGTGATAAAGGTGGTGTAGGTGATAAAGGTGATAAAGGTGATAAAGGCGATAAAGGTGATCAAGGTGAAATAGGTAGTAAAGGTGAAAAAGGTGATATAGGTGGTAAAGGTGTTATAGGTGATAAAGGGGTTCAAGGTGACAAAGGTGTTAAAGGTGATACGGGTGATAAGGGTGATAAGGGTGGTAAGGGTGGTAAGGGTAATCAAGGCAAGCCAGGCATTAGCGTGGATGAGGGCGGGGACAATAATCGGAGGTAAGGTACTAAAGGTAGAAAAGGCAGTGATGGTGTATATGATTCTGTTAAGTAGGGAATTATCAGATACCAAGTACGAGGTGAAGACCTGGAGGCCAAGGAGAAGACTGAAGTGCTGCTGTGGAAGACTTAGGCTGCAACAGCCACGATCACATCTTTTCACACGACAGAGGACTCTGCAATATTCCTTCTTCATCCTGTCAAGAGGCTCATAACCTGTTAAAGTTCCTGCACCTGTTGAAGCCTTACCACAACCTGCCATTGCTTAGACAATCCCGCACACTACTGAATCTTATCCTTATGCTGAAACATAAACACTTTCTGATGCAGTAATGGACGATGAACTACAACTCCTGCAAGAGTAAGATAATAACTCAAGTAAATGACACCTGCTCAAACAGTACTACCGCGTGTTGACTAATAAAGATAAACGCCTGTTATTTGTTGATACTATCACTTCCTTCCGTTGCATTACTTTATGTACCGGTATTTATTGGTGTATGTATAGTTGTTAGACTTTTGGTGTATCAGTTCTGTGTAACTGGTGATGTATCAGATGGCGCTCCAGCTGTTGTATTGTTTAACTTATACCCTCTTGTTTTTGCTGGACCACAATATGTATATTAGCTAAGCTATTAGAGAGAATAACAAAATATTTACTGCATTTCTACCTATTAATAAAATTTATTATTACACCTCGTGTTAATATAAATGCACTGCAATTACATATTTAGTTTTCCTTACAACCTTGTAAAGAATCATTTATATTATAACACTTATGACAGTGTTGTCTTGTTTGCTATTACATGTGAACCGTTTAGGGTAGCAGCCACTGAGGCTCTTGACTGACCAGATCAGTTCTTATATTACAGTGAAGGTCATGAGTATAGTACTCAAGTTTAGACAACCTATGACTGCTGCAACAATAATAATATTATTGAACGATTACTAATGCTATCACCTTCTGTTTCTCATCCCACCAAAAATGACTCTGTAACTCTAGGATGAAATCTCGTGAAAATTGATAATTTATAAATATCATCAATAATAATCAAGATTCTTTAGGTCCCAGGTTAGCCAGGTATTTTTATTTTATTTTCGTGAAAAAACTCTGTTTGGATGAGTGCCAGCATTAGTTATGCCGATGATACATGTAGATCACCTGACCACGTCCTATTATAATTTTTAAACTACCTTAATTCGAAAAATGGCAACAAAAAATTTACATGTGAATTAGAGAAGGACAATCCTCTACCCTTCCCTGATGTTCATACCCATTGTCACCAAAATAGCTTTACGACAGCTTCATACAAAAAAAAAAACTTTCTTTCACTGGTTTGACTAAAAATGTTTAACCTTTATCTACAGTAAATTGATTTCAAACGAAATCTAATTCGTATCCTCACCCACAGACATATTGGTTTATGTTCCAGCTATTTTCAACTTGACATAAAACTTAAACACATCAGGAATTCACTCTTTGATAATAGTTTGGTCAAGAAATATATTTATATTTAGTGTAGCAAAACTCTCAACTGAATCCTCGGCTATAAACAGTATCCAACAGGCACTTTGTTTAAAATATATCATCTCCCTGTAGGAACAAGCTTATTAAAATCATTTCACTGAAAATGATATTCAGCTCCCAAATGCCCACACACTTACAATCATCAGTAGTTATCAGCTTACGTGGGCTAGCTGTAGGCCAGCATATATCTGTTAAAAAAAAAAGACACTTTAAAACGCATTCACGATCACTTTGGTCGCACTGTTCACACAGGCCAATCAATCACCCAGCCACCTCCCTTCACTATCCGAAAGAATTCATACAGTAACTTCAGAAAACTGTTAGGGTAAGCTTTTTTTTTTTTGGAGTGAGGGTTGTAAACTCTTGAAATAAGCCTCACAATTAACGTGGTAGTGTGAGATGGCATGAGAGGTTAGGCACAGGAGTCAATAACTTGTATTTTCAGCGATAGCAATAATCAAGGAAAGGAAAGATGCGGTGATAAACTGTTTATACTTTGCGATTATTTATTAATAGTAAATATTAAAACTGTGACAATTTGAATTATCCCTCACACGAAAAGAACTTCACTGAGGTTCAATTAATACTGAGAAATTTTACTTTAACAATTAGCATTTACATCATTCAGTAAACATACCAACTTAAGGGTAATATTCCACAACGGTGACACTAGAATGATGGACACTCTATTCACTTTTCAATAGCACACAATGATGTTATTACAGATAGCACCATTAATTATTTGGGTTCTAAATCACAATATTAACTACTTAATAAACATGAAGAGATAAAACAACATACATCAGCTGTGGGCACAATTGGTTTACTGTCTCAATAATAGATCTGGGACGTTTATACTCCTGATGTATACAAGAATACTTATAATTAATAATTATAATAATTTTCCCCACGAGGGGGCTAGTTTATTGGGCACTCCCTTGCATCCCTTGCAAGGCGTAGCGCAAAAAGTGTTTACAGCGTCCAACAGGGAATCACTCAGAGTTCATGCTTGCCTAGTCGACTCAAGCATTTAAGGTCGTAAGTCCCTGAAGCACCATGGATTTCATCAGCAAGTTACATATAGTGACAATAAGAGTGTGCGGGGGATAATTCCCGATACAATACAGCTGTTTATGGCAAGGCAAGGCAAGTCCGTAATAAATCAAATGCCAAGCCTGTATGCAGGAGGAGGAATATTGATCAGGAGGAAGGGGTGTTGGTGGCGGCTCGGGACTGTACTGTAGGAGTGGAGGGAAGCACGTAGGCATTGACAGTATTAAGGGACAAACCTTTTACTGTGGGTGTGATGATGTGTGCGTCGGTAGTTGCAGTCACGAGGAGGAGGTCGGGAGGTTGATAGGGGACGTCCTTCCCGGCGGAGAGAGGTAGTAAGTTTTTTCTTTTTCTTACGGGGATTAGCCGACCCGAGCACAGGCCACGATAGGACGCCACCCTCCGGGAGGCTCCACATTGTCTCACTGTAGTGTATTAAGGTGTCTGCTTTGATCCTGACTTTGTACTCGTCAGAAGGCATGTTTTCCAGGGCATTTTTAAATGACTATACATACGTGTTGCGCTCATGCAGCATTTCTTGGATACATAGGACAATATCATGTCTGACACCTTGAATGTTGCCACACCTGATAGTAGTCTGCTTTTCATGATCTCCCATGAAGTAGATTTGGAGGAACTTTGCCTGCTCATCTTCCAGTGGTAAGAGGGATCCTGCTTTGTGATAGACTTGACCCTGGACTTTGAATGCGGTCATGTATCCGTGCTCACGAAATACACTGGTAGTTCCAAAGGATGTCACCTGGAAGCATGAATTGTACTTCCGTATTTTTGTATTAAGGTGTCTGCTTTGATCCTGACTTTGTGTACTCGTTTAGAGGCATGTTTTTCTTGGGGCATTTTAAATAGTATACATGCGTGTTGCGCTCATACAGCATTTCTTGGATAGATGGGACAATGTCATGTCTGACACCAACAGATGTTATACACCTGATAGTAGTCTGCTTTTTCATGATCTCCCATGAGTGGGTTGGAGAACTTTTCTGCTCATCTTCCAGGGTAGAGGGATCCTGCTTTGTGATAGACTTGACCCTGGACATTGAATGCGGGCATGTATCCGTGTGACAGAACCTCTGGTAGCTCAAAGCATGTCACCTGGAAGCATGAATTGTACTTCCGTAATTTTTCAAGTGTTTTGACTCTGGTATTTACAACGAATCTTCTTCAATGGTTGTATGATGGTTTTTTCAAATTTGGCAGTCATGCTTTCCATAGAAACAGCACAGTCAGCAGATTCTCCTTTGTATTTCTTTGCACCGCAATTCACTATTCTTATCCATGTTGCCAGGCAACAGAGGGATACTTTTCATATTCTATATATAACATCATCGCGATATTGGTATTCATACAACCTCCTTTACACTTAGCATATTCCACCACAGTGATTGCTGGATAGTGACACGTCACTAATCGGAGCCCTGACTCTGACCACGTAGGTTAATGAACTTGGACTGAAAAGTGCCCAGGGCCTAGAAAAATCTTAATCCGGCTCTGTATATATATATATATATATATATATATATATATATATATATATATATATATATATATATATATATATATATATATATCGCCGCCCTCTAGGCGGCTCATCCGCTAGGCAACGGTAGGACGCCACCATCCGGGAGGCTCCACATTGTCTCACTGTTCAGTCCCCAAAATTTCTTCTTCCATCAATAGTTCATTAATGGTGTATGTAAGTTCCACCATGTTTTTCACTACAACGGTACAGCAAAGTATATTTTTTTAGCATTAAACTCTTATTATTTTATTGTCTAATCGTCACTACATATAACACCACCCATCATCACTACATATAACATCATCCATCATCCCTACATATAACACCATCCATCATCACTACATATAACACCACCCATCATCACTACATATAACAACATCCATCATCACTACATATAACATCATCCATCATCACTACATATAACACCATCCATCATCACTACATATAACACCACCCATCATCACTACATATAACAACATCCATCATCACTACATATAACATCATCCATATCAACATAACACCATCCATCATCACTACATATAACACCATCCATCATCACTACATATAACACCATCCATCATCACTACATATAACACCATCCATCATCACTACATATAACAACATCCATCATCA